ACAAGTATAATATAGCATCGCATAGTAGCGCCCAAAAAAATTTGTACGATGTGATAACCAATACAAAATTTGCATAATTGCATATAGGAGTAATGGTGGAAGGATGATATACGAGCACCAACTCATGATATAATTATAAAATAACGGCCCTGATGAAGACATTGTCTTTCTTGTAGGATCTCAAATTTTGTCTTATGTTTCTGAAACAAAAGTATTTTCAATGAAAGAGAAGTTAATCTGAAAGGAAAACTGTTAGTTTTTAGCATTTGACTAGGCCCACGTTTCGTAGAGGATGGTTCCGAATAAAACCAGTTTGGAAGCATTTAATCAGATAATTTAACAATTTCATTTTCTATGTACTCAACAAACATATGTTAAATGGAACGCATAGAAGTCCATTGCGTCTGAAAACTGATCGCTATCGGATTCTGCAGATTACATAAAAATCCTACCAAGCTACTCTCATAAATAACTGTATCTTAGGGATATCTGTAGTTCATCCAATACCACAAACATCCAACCTTTTGTTCGATGATGGTAGTGTATCCTACAATCACCGATACTTTGACGAGTTATATTCACAAACACCCACATTCACCCACTTTGGAGAAGACTCAGAAAAAATATATTCTCAACAAAGTTAAAAAAAAATGGACCTCTTCAACACAACTAGCCAAAATCTCTCTTGTAATCAGTAAAAGTGACTTAGTGAACCTCCACAAACATCCACAGATTCACACAATCGAAATTTCTGTCCGATACAACGAGATGCTCACTTAACATTTATTCTGGTAAAATTTTCTGTGGAAACAGCCGAAACTATAAGAGTATCTATAATTTACACTCGATTTGAAAAATATTTTCATAGGGGTGTACTGCTATGTTTTCGGCACTAGGAAAATTCGTCGCCAATGAGAGCGAGGGTGAGAATATGAGTGAGAACAGCACCCTCAAGATAAATCCTTTTTCCATCGATTACTGCTGTCAATTCTTTCATAGTGAGTTCTTAAAAACAATGATGAACCTTCTGTCTGGGAGTTGATTGAGATGATCAATGAAAACAGGGTTTATCAGTTTGTGATGAGTAATAAATCCCTTTTCGGTTTTTACACGAAAAAAGGTTGATCAAGGCGTCGATCACGTATGGATGTGAAGCTAGCACAAAGGAACTACCAAAAAATAAGTATTTAGTTGCAATCTTTTAAAAAATATGGCCAGTGAATAAAAACTAGTCTATTCGAATCATAATTTAATTTTGCATCGAATGGTGAAACTTTTATTCACCAGCCAACCTTTAGAGAAAATTTCACCTTCACTTTTATTCTTCTACTACGTAAGAGGAGAAACCTAGATAAAATATTTTTTGAAAAGATTTCAGCTAAATACTTATTTTTTGTGCTAGCTTCACATCAATCGATCACGTTGAAAAAATAGGTTTTTTTCGTGATGAATCCTTTTTGGGGGTTTATCATTGTACTGACATTTTTTTCAGTGAAGCTTTTCTTGGTGTTCCCAGAATGTAGAAGTACACTGCAAAGTATGACTGCACTGCCTCTTACTGGGGCNACCTACGACCACTACAACTACTACGGAGCCCACGACCACAACAACTACAACAGAACCCACTACCACCACCACGACAACAGAACCTACGACCACTACCACGACTACGGAGCCCACGACCACAACGACTACAACAGAACCTACGACCACTACTACGACTACGGAGCCCACGACCACAACAACTACAACAGAACCTACGACCACCACCACGACAACACAACCTACAACCACCACCACGACAACAGAACCCACGACCACCACCACGACAACAGAACCCACGACCACCACCACCACAACATCCACGATCACTGCGACAACTGCAGAACCTACAACAACAACTGCTACTACCACGACTGTAGCACCTACGACGACGACTACAGCCACCACTGCTAAGCCAACAACGGCAAAGACCACAGCGCGTGGAACCACTGCCACTACACGAGCTACAAGAACTAGTGTTGCAACAAAATCAACGGTTACCGCAGAACAAACAACAACAAGCGCACGAACAACACCGGTTAGAACAACCAAACGAGTTACAAAACCAGCGAATGGAACTTCGAAGTCAACAACAAGAGTTGGTACAAAGACAACATCGGCTACAACGACTAAATCAGGTATAACAAAGACGACCGGCTCATGGAAACCAGTCATCACTACGCCTATTCAGAGAAGTATCTGAAAATATCAGTGTATAATAAGTGAAATATTCTACATAAACTAACTGATATTGGTAAGGAGTAAGAATGTGAAAAAACATTTCTTCCGTAAGAAATTCTGGACGATAGAATACATAATGTCATTGATGATTTTTCGTTTGATCTGCTAGTTGTAGCATTCTATGATGGTAGATTGATCACTTTCACTTCCTCTCATGTGATCAAAATGAAAAGACTTTCGATCGTTTTAGCAACTACTAAACGTCAAGCAACTGATAAAACAACGAAACACACGACAGGTATGAAACGACATATCATAGTACTTGCTTTCTTGCATAAGTATCTGACTATCTGTTCATTCTTTCAGTTAAACCAAACAAGTCAACTAACCGCGCATGTTCGAGTTCCTCGTCTGACGAAAGTAATGATAGTCGTGAACAAAAACCTCGCGGTTGTTCGTTATCTCAAGGTTCGAAAGGCTGCAATCAACGTGTGCATGTTAAACGAGTATGCGTTCAATCTGAATACAGAAAATCAGATATATAGATCTTCCTTGCTCAGATTCTTTCCAGCACGGCAGGCAGAGGCGAACAAAGCCGTCGGTGTGCTAAGTGTGCTTTGAGTCACATTAGTTTCACTGTCCTTCTCGAAGGCATTACGCTCAATCAATTAACAAATCAATGTAATGAACGATATATGGACGATTTCAAACAAAGTTTAACCGACAAAATTCGAAAATTCCAACCGAACGGATTGAAATCAATGAAAATCACAAGTTTGACCACACATGAATCAAACGGTCTTGTTGTCGAACTTCTCTTTAATGTCACACCACAATATAATCAACGACTTGCCGTTGCTATCCATCGTGCTCTTGCATCATATGGAGTAAATTATTTTCATTTAGAATCAAATCCGCTTTAATAACTTTGTCTTGCTTCTAGTTTGATCAGTTAATCGAAGGCAGAAACTAACAGCATTAATAACAACGGCTATATTTGATTTTTCCTGTTTGTTTTTTGTAACGAACAGAAGAAGAAAGAGCATGAAAAAAATAAAGAATCGATAAAAAATCTCAATTTTATTGCGTCGGCGAATATACTTTCATGACTTTAAAGATACTTAATTGACGTAGAAAACAATGTTAAGTATTTCAAACGTGATGAAATAGAAAGCTCAACAAAGCAATGGGATACATTGACATCAACCATGTTTTCTTGTGTGGATTGTACGCACGTTTATTGTCTTCTATGGGAATTGTTTGTTCGTTAAGAATGTCATTTGTGAATGTTTGATATGAAGATTTATACTTTGATCATTTTCACATTCATCAATGAAATTTTAGGTAAAATAAAAGTCAACTTTTTTGCAGTTCGCCTTCGAATTTGTTTTTATTTCCACTCTTTCATTTAATCAACCAAAATTGTGTCAAACTGCAACTTGGAATTGAAAGACTGTTACTTTAGCCGATAAAAGCATTATGGAATACCTTTCATATCATATATTTTTGCCAGTTCTAGTAATACGATCTATTCTGTCAGACAGGTTCAATACAGGAGAACTTTGGATTTGATCTACTGCAAGTTCACATCCTATACCTGAAATATTAGAAGCTCACGTTCGGTTTTCGTCACCAGTGTTGGTGACGTTTTTTATCGACAATGTTTATGTGAATGGACAAGTTAACCGATGGATTCCAAAAAATAATACTCTCACTATAGTAATGAGTGTCAATGTTCTTCGTGCAAGTATTTTCATTGATGATAATTACTACATATTTACAAGTAACGCGACCTAGTGGCCGCTAAACCCTCTACTGAAAGGATAGTATTGGAGCGCTAAAATTGATCCAAAGAGAAAAAAAAGTTAGATACTGAATATCTTTTATTATAATTTTTAGTTGAATGAGTTGATGATCTACATAGTTTTTTCTCGCAGCTCGAAAAGACGTTATATATATACTATATACCTTAGAAAAATTATGGACACTATGCGACAGTCTTATAAATCTCATTTTTCAACTAATTTTCAAAAGAAACATCTAGTCGTTCGTCGGCCTCCCTCCGGTCGGCCACTCACGGCTAGCCGTTCCCATGCGTACTTATTTTACTATCTTAACTTCTTTCGGACGAAGATGCGTTCCGAAAATGAGCTCATTTCGGAAAATCAATTCATAATCAAAAACTTAGAAAGTTTACATAGCTATATGATTCTCTGGAAAAGGTTTCCATCTTCACTCCACCACGAGGAACCTTAAATAGCTGCTAGCTATGGTCGTGCAGAGTAACGATTAATTTCTGTCCAAGGAATCTTACAGCTCTATAAAAATCACAAAATTTATTCTTGAAAATATTATTCTGCAAATCGACGACTAGTCGCTCGTCGGCCTCCCTCTCGAAGACAACACTTGACAAGCGAAACATTATTTTGAATGACTGGCATCAGATGATATTCGTATAGTATAGCTGTTTATAAAAGTGTGTGATCTCAGCAATATGCTGATGACTATAGAGATCCAGCGATCGAACGTCAGTCAGCTATTACATTTTTTGTTCTACATATTACCACTTAAAACATTATCGTCTAAAAAATTGATCCTTTGTCGCAAAAAAGCGGGCCAGAAAGTGTTCATGAAAAAACTAACACCGGATTCGAGATCCTCGACCTCGATTACCCTTCGGTCAACCCTTCTTAGTCAGAGATGTAGACTGCTTTTTCGTTAGTGTAAAGTACGTGAACGAACAAACGAACGAACTTTAGCTCAAATTCTGTGTATACCCTTCTTTCAGTAGAGGGAATAAATATTTGAAAAACTATTTACTTGAGTGAAGAGGGGATCACAGACAAAATGATTTAAAAATTAGATCCAGATTTATAAGCAATCATCACCGATTTTCTCGATGGACTGTTACAGGGAAATCACTTGTATACATTTGCCTAATTCTTGTAGCAATCAGTGAAGCGCAAACATATAAAAGGTCGTACAGGTGACCAAGTTATTTTATCCGATCTTTTCTGCGTCAGATAGAGTATCGCCTTTAACGACCTATGCCATATCTTCATTGAATGTTTCGTGCGACTTTGAACTCATCTTCTACAGCGCCCTTTCGACCCCGTTACGCATCCCCTACCAACATCTATTCTCTACACAGTAGACGATAGTGTTCCATTACCTCTATCGCTTATACTGTGCGTCACCAAAAATCAAATTCGAAGTAGAAATTAATTCTCACACAGTTACGCAATTTTGACGACATTGGACTGCTTTTTTCGATGTGTAGTAAGAAAATCGGCTGTATTTAGATGGCTCACATAATCGTCTCTTCCAATAGCAACCAAGAACAAATCACTTGATCTGCCGTTTAGCATAACTCATGATCTGAATGCGCTCGCTGTAGCTGCTGCTAATGCAAATGACAATTACAAATAAATTATCCTTTGTAGTCTGATAGTGTCTGAATATGCCAGATCTTAGCTATGCCACTACTTTATTTTAAGAGTCGACATCAACTGTTTATTGAAAATATTTTCGTATGTGTTTGCATGGCAATCTCCAGCTAGATACTCTGTAGATGACTAAGTACTTTCCATTTAAATGGTTTTGAACAATGAGAGCCATCTCAAAATATTTAAAAAATCAACTAATCAGTATTTTACAGAGAATATTAGTCTTAATTAATCGAAGCAAACGCACCGAGATATAGTTTAGAGAAGTAACTGCATTAAAATATGGCGAAATCATTAAAACTACTACGACGCACTGAAGGGATTTTGCATAAGCGTATCGAGATGTTTTTCGATCTTTGAGTCGAGCTGGGTGTTTAAAGGGAGTACTTTTAGCAGACGGGTGTAAATCCAGCTAAGAAGTATTCTGGGGGTGTCTGGATACATTTTTTGATCGTACAATAGTCAAATTTGTGAATGCTATAAAGGCGAAAGGAGAAGGAGAGAAAGAGAGTAGAACCGCGTGGAGTGCTTGGATCTAGAATGAAATTTTTTAAATTCATATGAAACGAGTTAAGCTCGGATCTCGAGAGATACTTAGTGACCTTTGTGAATTAAAACGTAGATAACGAGACGCGGTTTCTGACAGGCTGCAGAATTATTTCGGAGCGGATGAAGAGCCGTGAAAATTATGGAACATGTGTCGTCTTTAATTCAATCAAGCGGAATATGTATAATGATTGATTGACTTTTTTAACCTATGAATAATAGCTAATATCCACCAGAAATATTCATCGTTTAATTTCTTAATGAACTGATACAAAACCCGTTTTCATTGAACCCCTACGATTTTAATCTATAATTAATTGAAAAAAACTACGTTGTGTACCATCTTTCCGTCGGGTTGAAGTTACTTTCGTCACTGTTCATTTACACGAATATAGATGAACGACTCTTTGCTGCTGTTTTTCGACCTCTCTGCAGGCTTTTTTGTCTGTCGTTTAATAGTTGCTGTGTATTGTAGACACCATCGACAGCGTATTATACGATCGTTTTTGCCTTCTTTCGCTGACTTTTTCTGCGTTCAGGCGAACACGGATACTATCAGATAAAAAACTGAGCTGTTCAGAAAAGGTTATATGAAACGAAGTTCACCCAATTAATTCTCTTTTAATGATAACAATGACTCAATTATTTAAATTATCGTTTATTATGCTCGTTTGAATAGTTACACACCGTAGAAATATTCAACGATAAGCTGATGAGTTACGTAGAATAAACAATAGGGGCCTAATCAATCGATGAATAAAAGCCTTCCTAGTTTCCCGATAGTGGGACGAAGAGCCTTTGAAAAAAAATGTAGCAGTACGGGCAAAACGAGTCGGCGAACGTTACAGGTTGAATTCCACGGCGCATCCGAAAGTCGCTGCCCATAACAGCTGGCATTACAAAGGAGTAGTACACCTGTAGTTGCAATTTGATAAATACGATTCATCGAAATACAAAACTGTCTACTAGGAACTTCGCTGCACTCAATGATATCTCTATAATTGGAAAAATGTCCTGTTTGATTTCCTCTCGAACAGGACTTAACTTTCATAGAGCTTTGTTAACCGAAACACAACAGAAACATGAGATGTGTTTTATAACATATGTAATCGTCATGAACTTCCCTCGCTCAAGTGTTATTTTCTTACATAGATCGCACGTTCACGGCACAGTTTATTCTTAATCCAGATACATTGATCGTTTGCGATGAAAAGTAGCTCTCACGACTCTACTATAGTATATGGGAAATAAAAGTTGTTTTTTTTGTGAATTATCCAGCCCGAGAAAGCTATAGACTCTTGAAGAGGTCAAGCATACTGTACATGCTCGAGGAAAGTACAGTGCTTTAGTCTGGCTCAAAACTTTAGAGTATAAAATGTTTACAAACAATATCTTAGGAAGCAAGCAAGGATACATTAACTTGCAATTTTGGGCAGAGTTGCGACAAAAACAGCGACTTACCGACGGATCATAATTCAGTAATGAATCGAGCAAGTTCACAGATACTGCAGTATACAGTAATATCGATTTATTGATGGATACAGGATGTTGCTGAGTGACGAAACCAATCGTCAGTGCGCCATCAATGTTGTATCTCCAATTACGATACACGATCTGGATTTCTTCTCAAGATACAAATAGCACATCCAGAACCGTCTAAAATTCTGCGTCTAATGAATGGTCGTTTACCACAATTCGCTGGTTTAAACACTTACACTTATAGATAGACATACATGGATAGTTATCACGCATAGATAGTCAGTATTACTAGTATTATAGAAAGATTCGTCGCTCGCAGCCTTTTCAGATTCTTATCATCTAAACCTACCTTCAGCATAGTACACCCATCTGTGCGATCCTCAACATCCTTCTATTTCTACTCCCATCTTCTTCCTCACCTACACCTACATTCTCAAAACGGGGTAAAAACTGTAGAGTTTATAATCTGCTGAGGGATGATAGAGTATTTGAATCCGAATGG